ATTTGTGGTTCTTCCTGATTTCTTTTTGCAGTTGATCTCTAGTTTCAAAGCATTATGATCAGAGAATATGGTTGGTATGATTTCAACTCTCTTATATTTGTTGAGGCTATCTCTGTGTCCCAGTATGTCAATCCTTGAGAATGTTCCATGTGTACTAGAGAAGAATGTATAAGCAGCTGTTTTGGGATGAAGGGCTCTGTAAATGTCAATTATGTCCAGTTGGTCTATGTGTCATTTAAGGATGTAATTTTCTTATTGATTTCTGTTTGGATAATCTATCCATATCCGACAGTGAGTGTTTAGGTCCTCTACTACGAAAGTGTTTTGGTCTGTTTCTCCCTTTAGTTCTGTTAGTAATTGCTTTATATTTTTCAACATTCCCTGATTGAGAGCATAGATATTAATAAATGTTATATCTTCTTGGTGCATGATTCCCTTTATCATTATAAAGTGTCCCTAAGTATCTTTCTTTACCTTTTTCTTTTGAACTCTGATATTTTGTCTGATATTAGTCTGATATTTCGTCTAATATTAGTACCACTACTCCCACTTTTCTCTGAATTTTATTTTTTTGAAATATCATTTTCCACCCTTTCACTTTGATTGGTGAATTCAGTCCATTTACATTCAGGGAGATTATTGAAATGTGATGTCTTATAGCCATTTTATCTTTTGCTTTCTGGTAGCTGGAAGTTTCCATTGCTTCCTTGTCCTTGTGTTTCTGTTTTCTTTATTTTGGTTGGGTTTTGTGAGTTTTCCCTCTGGTCCTTCTTGTTTTATTTATATATTTCAGTTCTGAATCTTTGGTGTGTGGTTACCATTATGAATATACAAAGGATAGTTAGTTATATATATACATTCATCCATTTTCTTCTGCGCGTGCCTTATCTCCATTCCCCTTTGTGAATTTGGATCTTTGAATCCTCCCCTTTTCAGTCATTGTCATCTCAATTTGTTCCTATGTATGCTGGACATTCATTACTATCTTGCTATAGCAACTCTTGTCTTATTGTTTAAGCTTGTATTGCCCTTTTCTTAATAAAGGTTACTCTCCTCTGCTTCTATTAGCCTGCTAGTCACCTTACTCCTAATTATGTATTTTTTTTTTTTTTTGTCATTTTTTTTTAGGGGGTT